TCTTCTATTGGAACTCTGTATAATATTATTTATTTCAGTCAGTGTATGCTTAACTTCTAGTTGGTCCTTTTTCATATCCTTGAGGGTCTCACTAGATTTCTTGAGGATCTCACTGTTTATCGGCGGTTTCTAGAAAATTCTTGAAAAATCTTCTAACTGTGGTTTTGAACTCTATATCCAGTAGTTTGCTGTCCTCCATTTCTGTCATTTGTGGCCTGTTTCTTTGTCCCTGCATTTTTTATGCTTCCCTGTGTTGATAGAGTGGCTTTCTATGCTAGGTGTCCTTATAGGGCTCAGTGGCTCAGCCTCCCCAATTACCTGAGGTGGACACTCTTGGGGCACCCCTTTGTGGGCTGTGTGCACAGTCTTGTTGTAGTTAAGCCTATTGTTGTAGGTATCACTGGGAGGAATTGACCTCCAGGCCAATTGGCTCTGGGAATCAGCTGTGTCTGCAGTGGGAGAACTTCTGTGCTGGAGACACCCTTATGGGGCAAGACTTGCTTTAGTGGGGCTCTGGTCCTCACTGAGTCTGCCCCCTGAGTGTGTCCCTTATGGGTCTGAGGGGTTGTAATCTGGATGGTCCCACTCTGACCACTGGGTACACTGGCTCTTGGATCTCTAAGGAGGTGCTAATTTAGCCTCTGCCTGAGGCTACCCAGCAGGAGCTATGGAGAGATCTGCAGATTCCTCTTCTTTGTTTGGGGTTTGGAGGTGCCTAGATGAGGCCCAGCTGTGAAGCAATGCAAGCTGCTGTTGGGCCTTGGGCCTTCTTTAGGAAGTTCTGGGTCTCTCTGACCCAGCTGCAGATTGTTAGGTAATTTTCAGATCGCAAAGGGCCCAGCCTTTCATATGCAAAAGCCTCTGCGCACAGCTTGGGTGGGGCGGGGTCTCAGGGAATCAACAGGGTGGAGCAAACGGCTATGGCTGATCCTCAGTCCTACCCTAAGAGGCCCGGCTTCTCAGTGTCCTGGTAATCACTGCAAGCACCTCTGAGAGAAAGCCGTCCTCGAGTTCTGACTGATGCCAGACAGTCCAGTTTCTCCCCGTATGAGCCTGGGTCCCCAGAGACTCGCCCAGAACTGGAGTTCAGAGCATTCGGGAGCTTGAGACTCCCTCCCGATTGAAAAAGACAACCGTGTCCTCAGTTGCTAGCCCTTTCCACGTGTGCCTCCGTACCTCTGCACTTTACTTCCGCACCTCCTCTGAGTCTCCGTGTGCTTTTTTCTTTCCTTCTAGTTGTAGAATTTCCACTTAGTGAGCCTTCCTGTGGTTCTGGATGATGTCCGTTTTGTCTTTTAGTTATATTTTTGAAGTGGTTGTGCAAGGCAACAATTTCCGGTGTTTACCTATGCCGCCATCTTGGTTCCTCCTCTCTTTTTCTTTCTTATATTTCTTATTCATATAATCCTTTCCTTTCTTTTTAAAGAAGTCTATTTAACACTTCTAATAATGCTGGTTTAGTGTTGATAAAGTCCATTGGCCGTTTTGTTATTGTTGTTGTTTGTTTTTGTCTGGGAAACTATCTCTTCTTTGATTCTAAATGATAACCTTGCTGGATAGAAATACCTTCATTATAGGTCCTGGCTTTTCATCACTTTGAATATTTGTTCCACTCCCTCCTGGCCTGCAGAGTTTCAGTTGAAAATCAGCTGAAAGTCTTTGTGGGAGCTCCCCTGTATGTAACTGCTTTTCTCTGGCTACTTTTAAGATTTTCTCTTTGTTTATAACCTTTGGCATTTAAATTTTGATGTGTCTTGGTGTGGCCTCCGGAGTTCATCTTGTTTAGGACTCTGTTTTTACTGGACTTATATGTCTATTTCCTTCCTTAGATGAGTGAAGTTTTCAGTCATTATTTATTCAAATAGGTTTTCAGTACCTTTCTCTCTCTTTCTTCTCCTTCGTGCACCCCTCTGATGCGAGCATTGCTATGCTCGATGTTGTCCCACAGGTCCTTTAAAGTATCTTCATTTCCTAATAGCATTTTTCTTTTTCACTGTTCTGATTGGGTGTTTTCTGCTACATTGTATACTAATAGCTGATCCAATCCCCTGATTTATCTAACCTGCTGTTGATTCTCTCTAATGTATTCTTTATCTCAGTTACGCATTCTTTATTTCCTTTTTAAGAGTTTTTATTTTTATTTATTTATTTAAATATTTTTTTATTGATTTAAGAGAAGAAGGGAGAAGGAGAGATAGAAACATCAATGATGAGAATCATTGATAAGCTGCCTCCTGCATGCCCCACAATGGGGATTGAGCCTGCAACCCGGGCATGTGCCCTGACCAGGAATCAAACCATGACCTCCTAGTTCAAAGGTCAATATTCAACCACTGAGCAACACTGGCTGGGCACATTCTTTATTTCTGACTGCTTCTTTTTAAAGTTTCTATCTCTTTGTTGGGGTTCTCACTGAGTTAATTTATTCTCCTTCTAAGTGTACTGAGTCTCTTATAACTAGTGTTTTGAACTCTGTACCTGGTAGCTTGCTTGCCTTTTTTCCTGCAGGTCTTTTCCTGGAGTTTTGCCCTGTTCTTTTATTTGGGACGCGTATCTGTTTCCTCATCTGCCTTCTCCCTGTGTTCGTTTCTATGTGTTGGGTAGATCTGCTGTGAGAGGCCTTATGTAGCTGTCCTGGGGCCGCCCTGGTGGTCTCCCCTGTTTGCCTGAGCCAGGTGCTCAGGGGCCTGTGGTGTCTGTGAGCCCTCAGCTGCAGGTGAGCCTTGCATGCATTAGGGGTGGGCGGAGGCCCAGCTACGGCTGTAAGGGTGGTTGCCAGGAGAAACCAGTGGCTGCGCAGGGGCTGCCTGGAGCCAGAGCGGCTGTGGCAGAGCTCTCTGCCAGGTGAGCCTGGCCTTCCTGTGGTGCATGTGGCGGTGGGTGGGGGTGTAATTCAGGTGTAATCTTCCTGCCTTGACCTACTATGCATTCTTGACCCAAAGTCTTACATCATTGGACTCCAGGCTTGTGTGAGACGACATGGGAAGATGTGCTAAGAATAAGATTATTAAAAATAAAATCACTGTTCTGGGGGCAACAGAGAGAAGCAAAGACAGTGTGCTTCCCTGACCTAACCTATGTCAGTTACTGATGAGGTGGGACGGACAGTCGGACAGTCGCAGAGGAGGGCAGCGCCCCGCCAGGGAGGATGGACAGGCCACGGCGCCTGAAACCAGCACTGGAGGGCGCCAGGGTGGCCCGCCAGGAAGAAAGTGCTGATATTAACACCCATTAAAGCAGAAAAGGCTGCAGAGAGGACAATTAAATGGAAAATGCTGTGAGGTCTGATCACAAAATCCTTGTGCACATTCCAGTGACAAGCCAGGCCGCCCCCCGAGCAGCAGGCACCGCCGAGGACACAGAGAAGACAGTCCTCCACGCCTCCCGGGACACCGCCCTGCCAGCCGCTGCCTCCGCTACCCCGACCTCGCCACCCGCCACAACGACCACAGGGCCCGCGGGCAGCATCTCAGCACCAGTGTCCACTCCGTCCAGACATACAGCTGAGAGCACCCGCGCCTCCAGTAAAACATCTGTAACCCCAACAATCCCCACCACCACCTGGAAGACCAGAGCACAGTCCACAACACACATGGGAAGCACGAAGGCTTCCACCACAGCCCCTGCCACCACTACACCTTCCACCACAGCCCCTGCCACCACTACACCTTCCACCACAGCCCCGGGCACGACTACACCTTCCACCACAGCCCCTGCACCAACTACAGCTTCCACCACAGCCCCTGCCACCACTACACCTTCCACCACAGCCCCAGGCACCACTACACCTTCCACCACAGCCCCAGCCAACACTACACCTTCCACCACAACCCCAGCCACAACTACAGCTTCCAACACAGCCCCAGCGACCACTACAGCTTCCACAACAGCCCCTGCACCCACTACAGCTTCCACCACAGCCCCTGCACCCACTACACCTTCCACCACAGCCCCTGCACCCACTACACCTTCCACCACAGCCCCTGCCACCACTACTCCTTCCACTACAGCCCCTGCAAACACTACACCTTCCACCACAGCCCCTGCCACCACTACACATTCCACCACAGCCCCTGCCACCACTACACCTTCCACCACAGCCCCTGCCACCACTACACCTTCCACCACAGCCCCTGCCACCACTACTCCTTCCATCACAGCCCCTGCCACCACTACACCTTCCATCACAGCCCCTGACACCACTACACCTTCCATCACAGCCCCTGACACCACTACACCTTCCACCACAGCCACAGCCACCACTACAGCTTCAACCACAGCCCCTGCACCAACTACAGCTTCCACCACAGCCAATGAACCCACTACACCTTCCACCACAACCGCTGCTCCCACTACACCTTCCACCACAGCCTCTGCCACCGCTACTCCTTCCACCACAGCCCCTGTGACCACTACAGCTTCCACCACAGCCCCTCCCACCACAACACCTACTGCCACAGCCCCTGCCACCACAACAACTTCCACCAAGGCCACTACAACCACTGAACCTTCCACCACAGCCCCTGCCACCACAACACCTACTGCCACAGCCCCTGCCACCACTACTCCTTCCACCACAGCTCCTGACACCACAACACCTTCCACCACAGCCCAAGCCACCAGTAAAGCTTCCAGCATGGCCCCTGCACAAACTACAGCTTCCACCACAGGCTCTGAACCCACTATGCCTTCCACCACAGCCGCTGCACCCACTACAGCTTCCACCACAGCCCCCACAATGACCACACCTTCCACCACAGCCCCTGTGACCACTACAGCTTCCACCACAGCCCCTGCCACTGCTACTCCTTCCACCACAGCCCCTGCCACCACTACTCCTTCCACCACAGCCCCTGTGACCACTACAGCTTCCACCACAGCCCCTGCCACCACAACACCTACTGCCACAACCCCTGCCACCACAACAACTTCCACCATGGCCACTACAACCACTGTACCTTCCACCACAGTCCCTGACACCACTACACCTTCCACCACAGCTGCTGCACCCACAACAGCTTCCACCACAGCAACCGCCACCACTGCACCTTCCAACACAGCCCCTGCAATCACTACACCTTCTACAACAGCCCCCACAATTACTACACCTTCCACTACAGCCCCTGCACCAACTACACCTCTGACCACAGCCCCTGCCACCACTACTCCTTCCACAACAGCCCCAGCCACTACTACAGCTTCCACCACAGCCCCTGCACCCACTATACCTTCCACCACGGCACCTGCACCAACTAAACCTTCTACCACAGCCGCTGTACCCACACCATCCACCACAGCCCCTGTACCGACTACAACTTCCACAACAGCCTCTGCACCCACTACATTTTCTACCACAGCCCCTGAACCCACTACACCTTTGACCTCAGCCCCTGCAACCACTACAGCTTCCACTACAGCCTCAGCCACCACTACACCTTCCACCACAGCCCCTGCTACCACCACTCCTTCCACCACAGCACCTGCACCCACTACACCTTCCACCACAGCCCCTGCACCAACTACACCTTCCACCACAGCCCCTGCACCCACTACACCTTCCACCACAGCCCGTGCCACTGCTACTCCTTCCACCACAGCCCCTGAGACCACTACAACTTCCACCACAGCCCCTGCACCCACTACACCTTCCACCACAGCCCTTGCCACCACGACTCCTTCCACCACAGCCCCTGTGACCACTACAGCTTCCACCACAGCCCCTCCCACCACAACAACTTCCACCATGGCCAGTACAACCACTTTACCTTCCACCACAGCCCCTGCCACCACTACTCCTTCCACCACAGCTCCTGACACCACACCACCTTCCACCACAGCCCAAGCCACCACTACAGCTTCCACCACAACCCCTGAACCCACTACGCCTTCCACCACAGCAACTGCACCCATTACAGCTTCCACCAAAGCCCCCACAATGACTACACATTCCACCACAGACCCTGCCACCAAGACAACTTCCACCACAGCCCCAGTCACCACTACAGCTTCCACCACAGCCCCTGCGCCCACTACACCTTCCACCACAGCCCCTGCACCCACTACACCTTCCACCACAGCCCCTGCCACCACTACACCTTCCACTACAGCCCCTGCCACCGCTACTCCTTCCACCACAGCCCTTGACACCACTACACCATCCACCACAGCCCCTGACACCACTACATCTTCCAACACAGCCACACCCACCACTACAGCTTCAAATACAGCCCCTGCACCAACTACAGCTTCCACCACAGCCCCTGAACCCACTACACCTTCCACCACAGCCGCTGCTCCCACTACAACTTCCACCACACCCTCTGCCACCGCTACTCCTTCCACCACAGCCCCTGTGACCACTACAGCTTCCACCACAGCCCCTGCCACCACAACACCTATTGCCACAGCCCCTGCCACCACAACTTCCACCATGGCCACTACAACCACTGTACCTTCCACCACAGCCCCTGCCACCACTACTCCTTCCACCACAGCTCCTGACACCACAACACCTTCCACCACAGCCCAAGCCACCACTACAGCTTCCACCACAGCCCCTGCACAAACTACAGCTTCCACCACAGCCCCTGCCACCACTACACCTTCCACCACAGCCGCTGCACCCACTACAGCTTCCACCACAGCCCCTGCCACCACTACTCCTTCCACCACAGCCCCTGTGACCACTAATCCTTCCATCAAAGCCCCTGACACCACTACAGCTTCAACCACAGCCCCTGCACCAACTACAGCTTCCACCACAGCCCCTGACACCACTACACCTTCCATCACAGCCCCAGCCACCACTACAGCTTCAACCACAGCCCCTGCACCAACTACAGCTTCCACCACAGCCCCTGACACCACTACACCTTCCATCACAGCCCCAGCCACCACTACAGCTTCAACCACAGCCCCTGCACCAACTACAGCTTCCACCACAGCCCCTGACACCACTACACCTTCCACCACAGCCCCAGCCACCACTACAGCTTCAACCACAGCCCCTGCACCAACTACACCTTCCACCACAGCCCCTGCCACCGCTACTCCTTCCACCACAGCCCCTGCCACCACTACTCCTTCCACCACAGTCCCTGCCACCACTACTCCTTCCATCACAGCCCCTGACACCACTACACCTTCCACCACAGCCCCAGTCACCACTACAGCTTCAACCACAGCCCCTGCACCAACTACTCCTTCCACCACAGCCGCTGCTCCCACTACACCTTCCACCACAGCCCCTGCCACCGCTACTCCTTCCACCACAGCCCCTGTGACCACTACAGCTTCCACCACAGTCCCTGCCACCACAACACCTACTGCCACAGCCCCTGCCACCACAACAACTTCCACTATGGCCACTACAACCACTGTACCTTCCACCACAGCCCCTGCCACCACTACACCTTCCACCACAGCCCCTGCCACCACTATTCCTTCCACCACAGCCCCTGTGACCACTACAGCTTCCATCACAGCCCCTGCCACCACTACTCCTTCCATCACAGCCCCTGACACCATTACACTTTCCACCACAAACCCTGACACCACTACACCTTCCACCACAGCCCCAGCCACCACTACAGCTTCAACCACAGCCCCTGCACCAACTACAGCTTCCACCACAGCCCCTGCCACCACTACTCCTTCCATCACAGCCCCTGACACCACTACACCTTCCATCACAGCCCCTGCCACCACAACAACTTCCACCTTGGCCACTACAACCACTGTACCTTCCACCACAGCCCCTGCCACCACTACACATTCCACCACAGCCCCTGTGACCACTACTCCTTCCATCAAAGCCCCTGACACCACTACAGCTTCAACCACAGCCCCTGCACCAACTACAGCTTCCACCACAGCCCCTGACACCACTACACCTTCCATCACAGCCCCAGCTACCACTACAGCTTCAACCACAGCCCCTGCACCAACTACAGCTTCTATCACAGCTCCTGACACCACTACACCTTCCACCACAGCCCCAGTCACCACTACAGCTTCAACCACAGCCCCTGCACCAACTACTCCTTCCACCACATCCGCTGCTCCCACTACACCTTCCACCACAGCCCCTGCCACCGCTACTCCTTCCACCACAGCCCCTGTGACCACTACAGCTTCCACCACAGCCCCTGCCACCACAACACCTACTGCCACAGCCCCTGCCACCACAACAACTTCCACCATGGCCACTACAACCACTGTACCTTCCACCACAGCCCCTGCCACCACTACTCCTTCCACCACAGCTCCTGACACCACAACACCTTCCACCACAGCCCAAGCCACCACTACAGCTTCCACCACAGCCCCTGCACAAACTACAGCTTCCACCACAGCCCCTGCCACCACTACACCTTCCACCACAGCCGCTGCACCCACTGCAGCTTCCACCACAGCCCCTGCCACCACTACTCCTTCCACCACAGCCCCTGTGACTACTACTCCTTCCATCAAAGCCCCTGACACCACTACAGCTTCAACCACAGCCCCTGCACCAACTACAGCTTCCACCACAGCCCCTGACACCACTACACCTTCCATCACAGCCCCAGCCACCACTACAGCTTCAACCACAGCCCCTGCACCAACTACAGCTTCCACCACAGCCCCTGACACCACTACACCTTCCACCACAGCCCCAGCCACCACTACAGCTTCAACCACAGCCCCTGCACCAACTACACCTTCCACCACAGCCCCTGCCACCGCTACTCCTTCCACCACAGCCCCTGTGACCACTACAGCTTCCATCACAGCCCCTGCCACCACAACACCTACTGCCACAGCCCCTGCCACCACAACAACTTCCACCATGGCCACTACAACCACTGTACCTTCCACCACAGCCCCTGCCACCACTACTCCTTCCACCACAGCCCCTGTGACCACTACTCCTTCTATCAAAGCCCCTGACACCACTACAGCTTCAACCACAGCCCCTGCACCAACTACAGCTTCCACCACAGCCCCTGACACCACTACACCTTCCATCACATCCCCAGCCACCACTACAGCTTCAACCACAGCCCCTGCACCAACTACAGCTTCCATCACAGCCCCTGACACCACTACACCTTCCACCACATCCCCAGCCACCACTACAGCTTCAACCACAGCCCCTGCACCAACTACACCTTCCACCACAGCCCCTGCCACCGCTACTCCTTCCACCACAGCCCCTGTGACCACTACAGCTTCCACCACAGCCCCTGCCACCACAACACCTACTGCCACAGCCCCTGCCACCACAACAACTTCCACCATGGCCACTACAACCACTGTACCTTCCACCACAGCCTCTGCCACCACTACTCCTTCCACCACAGCTCCTGACACCACAACACCTTCCACTACAGCCCAAGCCACCACTACAGCTTCCACCACACCCCCTGCACAAACTACAGCTTCCACCACAGCCCCTGAACCCACTATGCCTTCCACCACAGCCCGTGCCACTGCTACTCCTTCCACCACAGTCCCTGTGACCACTACACCTTCTACCACAGCCCCTGCACCCACTACACCTTCTACCACAGCCCCTGCACCCACTACACCTTCCACCACAGCCCTTGCCACCGCTACTCCTTCCACCACAGCCCCTGTGACTACTACAGCTTCCACCACAGCCCCTGCAACCACTACAGCTTCCACCACAGCCCCGGCTACCGCTACTCCTTCCACCACAGCCCCTTTGACCACTCCAGCTTCCACCACAGCCCCTGCCAGCACAACACCTTCTGCTCCAGCCCCTGCCACCACAACAACCTCCACCATGGCCACTACAACTACTGTACCTTCCACCACAGCCCCTGCAACCACTGCACCTTCCACCACAGCCCCTGCAACCACTGCACCTTCCACCAGTGTTCCTGGAATCACTACAGCTTCCACCACAGCCCCTGCAACCACTAAACCTTCTACTACAGTCCATGCAACCACTACACCTTCCACTGAAACCACTACACCTTTCACCACAGCTCCTGCAACCACAGCCTCTGCAACCACTACAGCTTCCACTACAGCCTCTGTACCTACTACAGCTTCCACCACAGCTCCTGCAACCACTACAGCTTCCACCACAGCCCCTGCAACCTCTACAGCTTCCACCACAGCCCCTGCAACCACTACAGCTTCTACCACAGCCCCTGCAACCACTACAGCTTCCACCACAGCCCCTGCAACCACTACATCTTCCACCACAGCCCCTGCAACCTCTACATCTTCCACCACAGCTCCTG